TGGTGATTGTAATGTGCGTTGGATCACATCGGCTCCCAGCTTTTGCGTCAAAGCTTGTGCAGCTTGTGATGACCTGTTGCTATTCACTCCGTGCTTTTCGAGGAGTTCTCGTAGTGCTGGCAAGTGCTGGTCAGATGTTCCTCCAAGCGGCAAAGCATATACTGGTGGATCATGTGCTCCTGACAAGACCAGATGGTGAGCAAAATTCTTTCTCCATGACTCAGCTTCATCGGGAGAGATTGCACGGTTGCTGTCCGGATCCAATGCTTGGTTGATGATCCATGCAATGGTCTGAAATCCACAATCATTGGCAAACGCATGGGGCATGTGTGTTCCACTTGCCTGCTGATATTCTTCCAGCATCTCAGCCTTGATCCATGCTGTTACTGCCGGCGTCATATCATATGTTGTTGTGATGGTGAAATTGTCATTGACTACTTCAACCATGATTGGAAACCAGTGATCTTTGAACAAACCCGCAGTCATGAGTTTCATTTGTTTGGACTCCTGCGCGCTCTCAACGGCCGTGAGGATCCAATCTGCCAAGATTCTTGGGTTTTCTGTTTCTTGCCTCAAGTCCAAAGGGCTGGTGGTGACTGCTGTCCCTGAAACATGTATTGTCTGAAGGTAAAAGATCATTTCATCCATCGCAACCCATCCTTTCTGATGCCAAAGGGCTTGGGAACGTTTCATTCCATCCAGGCATGGTTGGCCCTTTGGGTCTCCAATGTTATGTCCATGCTGAACAATTAGGAGTTGATGGTCTGGCATGATCTCGGACACTGACAATTGGAACCCCACCCCATTAACTGGTTTGAAAGGGTGATCGCCATGATTCCAGAGGTGCTGGAATTTTGCTTCTGCGCAAACTACTTGACCAATGGTGGACTCAGTTGAAACGGCAATGGGAAACATGGTTTCGTTCTCATGAGCAATCCAGCAAGTCTTGGTGTTGGCAATTTGTGACTCAGGAGGCTCGACCTGTTGCATGGATATTTGTTGATGCTCATTTTGGTGGTGTTCTCCGTCTTGGTGCACTCGGTCTGGTGCATTTGGATTGTCAAGCTTGGCTCTTTCTGTGCTGTTGCTTGCACTCTCTTCTACCGGTCGCTTGAGTGATGGCGGTGAATCAGGTGCTTTGCTGGTTTCAAAGCCTGTAACCCCTCCATTGGTGGAAAAGGCTGTAATTTGCATTGCTTGCGAGGCTTCTTTCACCGGGTTGATGCTTGTCGGCAAGGATTGGTCATGAGGGGCAATGCTCGCTAGTATGTATCCACCTTTGCCTTTGGCAATCCTGTCATTCATCTTGGCTTTTGTTGTGGAAACTGATGGACCAGAAAGAGGCTGCCTTTCATCCATGTCACTTCTGACATTGCCATGTTGGGCTTCACGTGAATCAACACCTAGGTCAGCAAAGGCATCTGATGCATGCTTGGTTTCTCGGCGAACGGATGCATTTTGCAGGCCGGATGCAACGGATGTCATCTGTTGATCTGTACACCGATCGGATGCAACCCTGGATGCTTCTGTACCTCGGATTTTGTCGGGATTCGGATGTCCTGTGCCTTCGGAGATGATGTGATCTGTACACCGATCGGATGCGACCCTGGATGCTTCTGTACATCGGATGCTGTCGGGATTCGGATGTCCGGCGTCTTTGGAGATGATGTGATCTGTACACCGATCGGATGCAACCCTGGATGCTTCTGTACATCGGATGCGGTCGGGATTCGGATGTCCGGTGTCTTTGGAGATGATGTGGTCTGTACACCGATCGGATGTAACCCTGGATGCTTCTTCATATCGGATGCGGTCGGGATTCGGATGTCCGGTGTCTTTGGAGATGATGTGATCTGTACACCGATCGGATGCAACCCTGGATGCTTCTGTACATCGGATTTTGTCGGGATTCGGATGTCTTGTGCCTTCGGAGATGATCTGATCTGTACACCGCTCGGATGCAACCCTGGATGCTTCTTCATATCGGATGCAGTCGAGATTTGGATGTCCTGTGCCTTCGGAGATGATGTGATCTGTACACCGCTCGGATGCGACACTGAATGCTTCTGTACATCGGATGCTGTCAGGATTCAGATGTCCTGTGTCTTTGGAGATGATGTGGTCTGTACACCGATCGGATGTAACCCTGGATGCTTCTGTACATCGGATGCGGTCGGGATTCGGATGTCCGGCGTCTTTGGAGATGATGTGATCTGTACACCGATCGGATGCAACCCTGGATGCTTCTGTACATCGGATGCGGTCGGGATTCGGATGTCCTGTGCATTTGGAGATGATGGCATGGTCGGATGCATCGGGTATGGGCGCCACTACGGTCGGAGAGATTCGATCTGTGTTTGTCGTCCCTTCGGCTGCAAGTCTGTCTTCTGGGATTCCAACATTCCTAGGGTATTCGGATGCATCCCTTGGGAACTTTGTACACGGCCCGCTGTCTGGTGCAGATGCTCCATGAATGGATGTCTCGTAGGTTCCAATCAGGTTGTTGGGTTTTGGATCCTGTTCGGTGTTTGCTGTACAACCGGCACGGGGAATCTTTGTACACGCTCGGGCGCCCAACTTTGCTTCACCTGCACCTTTCGGCCTGAATTCCATGTTATCCAACTCCTCAACACTTGGAAAGCAAAAAGGATGATCAATGCTGTTAATTTCATGTTGGAAAATCCGGTTGTATTTCGTGTCAGCATGTGGCCAAATTTCATCCCTTTCCTTCAGCAGAATTCGACAAAACTGTGCTAGGGAATGCCTGGGATGTTCCACCTGTTGAACCAGTCCTTTGTCCTGCAATTGGTACAAAACGTTGGCAAACACCCACAAAGATTGGAGTGGCGATGCGCATTGACCCACTCCGGCCAGGTCAAGTCGAATGTTGCTGGTGTCGGATGCTTGCAAGTATGACGGAGGGAGTCCGCACATCAGTGATACCTCAGTCGGGTGTAAATGGCGCGCACGGAGAGACATGTGAGGCTGCTTTGCATCCTCAAACGGCAAAAGCACTCCGTAAATCCCCTTGCCTGTTGGCATCCCCTTACATGTGTTAATGCAATGTGATCGGATACCCCTTCCATCCGTTTGGAAAGCACTGAGTTCATCATCATCAAGTACAAGTTGTTTCATGTCGCATGTGTTACTGTCCATCATGTTGGGGATGAGATGAAGAATGAAAGGATCAAACCGCAGAGATGGCATGGGAGGAATGTCTTCAAGCGGGACATACTCTGCTGCAATGGTACACCACCATCTGTCCCTGCGTCCTGGCCACATGTGATGCATCTGCAGTACCTCTTGTTTGAAAGTACTTCCTGTGAGCTTACTGTGCAATTCTAAATGGCTTTGAATCCATTGGGATCGCTTGGCTTGAGGGGTACATTCCAAAATGGTCATGACTGATTGTAAAAGATAGCTCAACTGAAGGGTTCCAGTGAAAGACCTGCTATGATCATCCAGTGAAAACGGTTGACATGAGATACCTGCGCTCACCATCTTTCCAGACCCGGTCTGCTTTGCGACTTCGGCCGCCGTAGCTGACGCTGAGATGTCTCCTTGAATCACTTGGACTGAGTACCTGTCTTTCACCCATTTGCAAAAGGTCGGATTCTGCTCCACGAAAAGGCATGTGTCAACTCCCAAAAATCTGAAACCAACGTCAACTGCCCCGATTCCTGCACATCCCTCGATCAACTGCTGAAGCTTCTCAATGTTTGTCGACTGATGCTCTAGCAAAAAAGAATCACTTCTGAAATCCAACCAAGGCCTACGACCATTCAGGAAAGATACCTTGAATAATGTCATCTTCATCGTGTTTCTATTGATCGGAGCATTGGTGAGGAAAACTTGGTGGTTGACCATAGATCTGCAAACATGGGCCCCAGGGCAGAAAATCAAAACCTGTGCCACCACATCTGTCTGCTGGCCATCCGAAAGGTCAGAAAACGAAGGTTCCAGGAAATTGGATGAAACGCCCATGGCTTAATCTACCCGCCCGAAGTTTGGCCAGGACCGCTCTACCCCCCTTGAGCCAAAATGGCTACGGAATCCTAACCATCATTTATCCAGAAGTTACCTATCTTTGGGGAACCGCCCTTTTTTCACCGCCCTTTGGGCAAACGCAGCAGACATTGCTGACATTCACCAATTCACTGACCGCTTCTAGGTGCAGCAGCACCAGCATCTTGGGACTTCACCATACCCGGGAAAATCCAAGATGGCCATGGAAAATCCCATGGACTTTTACAGGGGAAATCATGGATCAACGGAGGATTTTAGATGCCATGTTTGATTACAATGCCCAAGTGGATGTTCAATCCATCTACCCTCTGGTAAACGTTTACATAACTATGGAAAATCATCATTTTTAATGGATAAATCCACTATAAAATAAATGGCCATTTTCAATAGCTATGTTAGTTTACCGGAGGGTATACCTGGGGTTAATATCCCATGGCAACAACTGGGTAACCATCGCAACTGAGTCCTCAGATATCTTCAGGTTTTTTAGGTCATTTTTAATAGTTGAAATGCCCATTCTATACCCAAATATCATGGATAGTTGGTACTATCCCAGATATCCCAACCAAAAATCCAATGACACTTCATCATGGTTAACTAAATGTGTATACATATATATATATATACACATTAATCATTATTAATATATGATCATATGTATACATATATAATCATAATTCAATAATTGTTTTTCCAATTTCGAATTTAATCATCATTTCCATTTTTTCCAATGATGATAATGATACAATATTAATGAATATATATATATATATATGTATCATCATCATATCCCATCATCATCTATTGGAAGATGGGATATGATCCAATATTATATGTATGTATATATATATCCAATGATAATATTAATACAATATTCCATTTTTTATAGTATGTATATTCCATTTATTCCAATGATATTGATACAATATATATATATATATGTATATATCCCATCTTCCAATGATTTTTGTCGCCTGTCGGCTGTGGCGTCGACTCGGACTCATCTTCCAGTCGGTGGCCTCGGTACGACGATGCGACGGTCGAAGGGCTTGGAAAACCCAACGCCACGGAAGGAGAAAACCCCACGAAAAACTGGGGAAAAATTGGGAAAATCATGGGAGAAAAAATGGGAAAACCTGTGGATTTTTCAAATTTGAGAAATTTAGTATGAAAATATATGAAAATAGGAGAAAACCCTGAAAAAATCAAGAAACATCGCCATTTCACCTGGTCTTTTCCAGAAATATAGGGGAAAATGTGGTATGGGAAAGCCCGTAACACCCAGATTTCATTGGGTCGTTGAGCATGGTGTGCTTTTTTGGGGTTTTTCTTTGGTTTCAGAACGGTGTAAATGGGCCTGATCGGGCCTGATCTAGAATGATTTTGAACCTCTTTCATGTGTGCGGTATGTTTTACCAATATCAATGGATAGATTTAAGGCAAGTTCTACAGGGAAACCATGGTTACACCTCAAATCCAGGGGTTACCCAATTTCAAACGGTTGATCCACTGACTAACATAGCTGTAGAAAAAAGCACCATCTTTTAATAGATAATATGTCAATCAACTATCAAGGTGCCGTGTTCAATGGCTTTGTTAGTCATTACCAGAGAGTCATCAAATGAGATCGGATATTTGAGGATTTTTTGTTCGACGTGACATCGAAACATCCATCAGGTCAGGGTCTACTTTAAAGATCTTCAAGCGAAAGCTGCCTGAATTTTCAGGGGCAGACCCAGCACAAGTGGTGGTACCATGAAGATATATAATATATTATAATATTATTACATTTATTAAAGTATAGATGGGTATATGATGGGAATAACTCAGCAACTATAACTATATCCCATTCTGTAACATCAAGTTTCTTCTATTCACTGTTGTTTGCTATAGCACCATCAGTTCTGGACACTTGTCTATCTCAATACCCTGTCTGCAACCAGCCGCACTACACTTCGGTGTCAAGAAAGACACGTCTGAAACATTCTTTCCACACATGTTCCACACATTTTCCTCTTTTTAAACTCCTCCTGAAACAATGTTTCAAGTTCAAGTCCTCCATTCCTCGACGAATGATTCACACCCAAAAACCCAGATTTACAAACTACAAACGATCATCCCATGTAGGGATTTTTTCGAAAAATTGTCATAGTCATAGTCATTCATATATCACATAGAATATATCATAGAATATATATCATAAATAATACATTAATATATGATTAATATATATATGACTATACATAATTAATATACATAGTCATAGTCATATTAAATATGTAATTATATATAATATTAATCTCAGTCTGGGATTATATTACATATTTGTTTAGACCATTGATACCAGATTGAATCATCCCTCTATTTGGGTTGATCAAATCCATGGCTTCCCATGGTTTTCCCATCATTTTTTTCCCCATCAGATTCGTGCAATTGGATGGGAGATTAATATATGTTATTAAATTAGCCATTTCACCAAATAATGATGGTTAATGATGCTTAATAATGTTTAATAATGGGGATTAATGATTAATGGTGATTGATAAAGTTTTTTGTGGGTAAAACAATGTCATAAACCCACCATCCCCCAGTCACCATCTTTATGTGCTATATATAAACCATGCCAAGTCATGGTTGGTAAACATGGCACTGTTTTTACCACATTCATGGTGATTAATAGTGATTAATAGTGATTAATAGTGATTAATAGTGGATAATAGTGACTAATAGTGGTTAATAGTGACTAATAGTGACTAATAGTGGTTAATAGTGACTAATAGTGATTAATAGTGACTAATAGTGATTAATAGTGATTAATAGGGATTGTTAATAAATAGTGATTATCCCATTCTTAGACTCACCCATTGGGTTGGACCAAGTGGCGCATCTGTCGGCCATGGCCATGATGGCCATGATGACCATGGCCAAATTTTCGCTGCGCGAAGCCTTGTTTTACCACGAAAAAAGGGGCATGTTTGAAACTGGACTCAACAAAAAATGAGGTTAAACGGTTACAACTTCGCACTGGGAGTGGGAGTTGATTCAGCTTATGATGATAACATTAATTATGACCCCAGTTCCAAAATACTTCTGTACCTTCTGGTCATCCAACCTGAAAAATGCTGTGGGGCAAGAGTCCATCCCGAAGAATTCGGATGGTCCACTAGTCGAATTGTACGAGGCATCGCATTCTTCTGGTATTCGATGTTGATTCATACTATATAATTAGAATGGAGCTGCAGATAGCTGGAGATGGAGATAGCTGGAGGTTACAGGAAGGGGCTCCCAAAAGGATATGTAATAGGTTTCCATTGGTTTGACAACTAGGTTTTCTGGGCTCAGTAGTGGAATATCTAAAGTTAGATGGATTAACTAATGCCCGTCGCCATTCCCCTTTTTTTTGGTCTGTTCTCATGGATCGATCCGGGTCGGGTCTGGAGGAATTCGCCCATCCTCATGGCTAAGCATGGCTCGGGCTTGATCCACCAGTCCAAGGTGGCATAAGCAAACCACAACTTGTTCATCCATTTTCTGGATTCGATCCCTCTCTTTTTGCTCATGAAATGCTCATGCTTGAGGTTCCATCACAGGCGCCTTGGCTCACCATCAGGAATATGGGTCCAAAGATCTGGCTTATATAATACCCATATGCCATTGATGGGCTATAAATGTGGGTAAAATATTCCATACATGGAGCATATGAAAACATTCATTGACCTGAACATAGCATCAGATTGCGGTTATATCTGCTATCATACGGCCTAAAGGGATGATTCCCTTTACGACCCGACGGCTGCTCTGAGAATCCCTGGCTGCTCTGCTGATCCTCTTCGGGAGAGCCTGGCAGGAGATCTCTTCCTCCAACATGACCAAAAAGTCAGGTGATTTCACCAAACATGGTGGTACCGTAACAGTTTGCGAACTGGAAAGTGAGCCATTTCTAGTTGATTTACCTATGAAAAATGGTGTTTTACCTATTAACAATGGTGTTTTCCATAGTAAAAATGGTGATTTTCCATAGTTATGGTGATTTACCAAAGGGTATTATGGGGATATGGGACATCCCCGCACTAAATGGAAGTTTCAATGAGAGCCTCAATATGTTATGGCAATATGATGCGGAGATAACTGAAGAATTCTCCAACTTGGGTCTGTATGAAATTCTGGGATTTATCCCCTATATATTATTGCCAGTTTAAGGGGGATATATATATATATAATTACATATATATATATATATAGGTGATATAATGTTGTTGACGTGTGGGGTTTTTGACGTGTTTTGTTTCAACGGATAAAACCAAAAAACCAACCGGAAGATACCCATATCAGCCCATATCATGAAATATGTCCATTCGCAATATCCCTGTCTGCACCATGTTTCATGGGCAAATCACCCGATGGTGCCCCCGATGTTCTAATAAGCGACTAGAGGATTCGTCCGTCGGCCTATCACCTCGAAATCCTCTGCATCACGAGCGGCCTGTTCAGTTTTTTCCGATCACTGGCAATCAAAATTGCAATATGTAATGTATCCATATGGGGTTCCTAAGTCATAAGCGTACCCCCAAATCATTCAAGTCATTCGACCATGAAATAGTATTGAAACCCATGCCCACGTATACATATACATATACATATACATATACATATACATATACATATACATATACATATACATATACATATACATATATATATATATATATGTATTTATTTATTTATTTCGTACTATATTGAACAATTATTGTATAGTACATATATCATATATACGTATATGTATAGTGTTGTGAAGTGGTATGCCCAAATCTTTGAAAGTTGTCCTAGACATACCCAAGAACAGAGCAGCCCAAGGCTGAATCCCTAGCCCGATGGGTGTTTTTTCGCCAACTTTTGACCGTGGCACATATTTTTGTTCAATTGATCTGCCAAATGCATATCCAAATGCTATGGTCGAAATAGTTTGACATATTTTGGTCTATGCCCATTAGTGTTTTTTAGATGGGGGTATCACAAACCTTTCAGCATTTTAGATACTGTAGAAGTGTGAGCTTGAAATGCCCCCCAAGTTCAACGAAACACTCGAACCATCAACATATAAAATATTGAACTTACATGTATATGATTTGTAAACATGATATGTGAATTAAAAGCCTTAGGTACAGAAAATTCTCTTATTTGGCTTTGCTGATGATTGTGTTCCCATTTTTGTTTATTTGTTCAATGTCCAGATCCCCCTTCTTGACGGATCTTGTTACTTCAGTGGTCAAACCTTCATTTGATTGCTTTGTGTCTTTGAAATCCTACAGTCTAACATGAAACCCAAGACCTATCAGGAATGTCGATTTCCAAGCCCAGTTTCTGGGGAATGTTTTAATGAAGGTCATCCATTGCTTGCAAATGGGGACCCAATTCAGGAAAGCGTACAGTTGGCTCAGTCCACGTATCCTTTCTAGGGGCCAATGAACCCAAGTGACCAGCAAAATGGAGGAAAACCCTTTAAAATGGAGGTCCAAATCCCATCATTTGATGGTCTTTTGCAGGAGCACGTCATCGGAAACCCCTCTGAGATCCTATGAGCACGTTTGTTTGACTGACCCCAACTGGGTTTTGAACGCCCCCCAAGAAAAATTGGATCTAGTGGGCTTGATGGCTACTGCTTGACCTGGGGATTCCAAGTTCGTGGTATTAGACCAGAGAGAATACCTGGTTGGTGGTTGACCCCTCTGAAAAATATGAGTTTGTCAGTTGGGATGATGTTCCCAATATATGGGAAAATATAAAATGTTCCAAACCACCACACAATTTCCCACACAATTTCCAGAGTCGGCCTGCTCGGGGTTCGGAGCGAGGCCTTTTAGCCCGTCCGTTAAGCACGGAATGTGCTGTGAGACCGCGCCTCGTCAGACAGCGCATATCTATCCTGACGTCGCGTCAGGGGCAAGGCAGCTAGGGCCCTTGTGCCTCTGCTGCATGGTCCATTGCATTCAGTTGCAATCCAGTGTTCCGCTCCATTCCAGCTAAAGTAGCTCCAACGGACCGAAGCGGCATTGACAAAACTTTGTATGGAATCCCCTTCCGCTTTGCAAGCGGCCATTCCAACAGTTTGGCCTGTCAGCTTCCAAAACACCTTCAAGCAACGTCTGAACCATTTGAGACGCACCAAAAACGGGTGCTTTTCCGGATCCAGATAGGGCCTGGTCAAAGCGTCCAGCCACTGAGCTCCATGCTTCACCGGTCCAGGGCAACCAAATGTAAGCTGGTAATCAACGTGCGAAGCTGATCCAGCGAATGTCACCTGCATCGTCACTGGTGGTCCTGCTGAGCCACCAACGTCCCACGCGGTGCGCCAGACCTGCACCGTATTCATTCGCAAACTTCAAAGGAATGTCTCCCCGCCAAGTTGCTGTGGCAAATTCCACAGGGAAGGTGCGCAGTTGTTTGGGCTGCACGGGCGGCACATCATCCAATGTCATCTGTGTCTCCGTCTGAACACTACGGCGTGCTACAGCGATGTGTAACGCACAGACCTGGCTGTGCAACATCCTGGCTGCAAGGGTCTGTTCCACGTGGGTCTTCCATTGCTCCCAAAACTGCGACGACCTGTCGATATTGGCGTGCTTGGCCACTCCATCCACAACGTTGTTGTGCCAGTACTGCCAGACCTCGGTGCGGCTTGTCGCCTGAGCCAGTTTGCGATGCGCCGGGATCTTCACGACCTGGCAACCCTCATCTCCCAACATTGCTACTGAAGCCAAAACCCATGTCCAAAGATCTGCACTTGCAGAGTTGGGTTTCAAGGCAGTTCGTCCCGAAGTGAGCCGGTGGTATTTATTAACAACCCCCAAACAATCACAGTATATTTTTACCCTGAAGGCCCCTAGCGCAGCATGGTGGAGGATGACGGCCAACGCAAACAACTCACCGCGGTAGGAGGTTTGGCAAAGTCCAGGAACATGGCCCGCACCCAGAACGCCCCCATGACTGAAATTCCACATGGGGGAAAAAGGTTCAGCAAGGACAGCGGCCCACGAGGCAACACGGAAAGCAGGATCAGCTTGCCACAGACAGGAGCCATCAGTGAACACATGATTGAGAACACCAACGTGGAACGCGCACGCAAGAGGTGGAACCAAGCACGGCACAGAGTCCAACAGACGAAGCCACGCAAGGTGAGTGGGCGGGTAGATTGCCCAGCTGCGTAAGACCATGGCATCTGGAAGCAAATCCAAAAGTGGCAAAACATCAGGTGCTAAGCGGGTGCGCAAGTCCAGCGTGTTTGGGCATTCAAAGTACCGGTGACGCAGCGAATCCAACTGGCCGCACCACTTACAGGAACCGGTGCCATCGTTCCAATGCACATGCGCATCCTGCGTAAACAAACCCCCAGCCAGGCTAAGGCGAAGCATGGATTGCTCATCGATGGCAAGTCGGCTGATGGCTTGGCGTGTGGTGGTCGTGTCGACCATGTCAAGTCCACTGAAGTCTTTGCGGTGGGAAACTGCGGCACTCACATGCTGATGCCATTGCCATTGGAGACGGTGGCACAATTCAGCAAAGTTGACATGGGCTGGATGAAAGAGTCCAATGCGGTCTTCCCAGTGCCCTGTGGGTTTGATGGCAATTCCAACCTTTTGGAGACGGCCAAACAGCACAGCAGTTGGGGAGGATGGTGGACTGTCCACAATGCCTTCAGCAAGGGGAAACAGGTCAGTAGCCCAAAAATCCAGTGGGCAGTTGAGGCGCGTTTCGCCCACCGTACGGATCAGTGCAACAAACTCGGGGTCAACATATGCCTCAACAAGTCCAAGCAACAACAAGGGGTTGACACCTGGCTTGTCCATACTGAGTGCTTTGTTTGCGTGGCGTCTTTGGCAGAGCCATGTGTTGTCACTAATTGGAGCGCTTTCTACTGCAAAAAGGCCGCGCGGCCAGGCCACCGTGCGCAGCGCTCTCAGCTTGGAGTGGTAACTGGCTCTGCTTTGGCGCAGCTGGATCCAAAAAGGGTTCAAAGCTTCAAGGCGGCTGGTGACCGTGCTGTTGGTGTGTTGGCGCGAGAACGCCACATGAGCGCCCAGGTCTTTGGCAGCATGTTTGACAGGGATCCCAAGCGCCCTCAAGTCGGCTCGAACTGCAGCTGATGTAGACCAGGCGTAGGTCTTCTGTCGATCGACTGTCAGATCTGCCATGCTGGCGAACTCAAGAAGTGCATCCAGCTGTTGCGTGGCTGCGTGGGCATTCCAGGTCAGGAAATCCCAGTTGTCCACAAAGCTGAGAACTCTCAGCAGCGGGTATTGGGCAGCTATGTACCGGTGCATGATGTCATCCATGATAAGCATGCCGTAGCAACTGAGTGCGCATCCTTCAGCAAGTCCTGTGCTTGTGGTGAAGCCAGTGCTATATGAATCTCGCACCTTGAACCTACGGGTCATAGCTGCAAGAGCCCCGCACCAGGCGGTCATGGTGGACACGGGCGTGCCAACTTGTAGTGCGGCGGCGATGATGGGGTACCGCGGCAGGCAATTGAAACATTTCTCTATGTCAGCGGTCAACCCGCTCAAGCATTGATTTTGATCATAAGCCTGCTGGATACTGGAGACCAGAACACGCCATAACTGGCTGGTCTGATGACCTTTCCTGTTTCCGTAGATGTCTGCATGGCACCACTGGTTGGCTTGGTCAAGCATACATCTGGCATGGAGGGAACTGAAAGCTCTGTAGACCATCGAAAAGACAGTTATGGGCCTATAGTCCTGGGTGCTGGTAGCCCCTTCCCGCTTGGCTAGCGAGGCCACGCTGCCAGTGACAGTTTGAATGGGCCAACTTCCATCACTGCACGCTCGGTGGTATAGTTGGCACAAGCTGGTCAGGGTATTCCGGTCCAATTGAAGGATGTCGGCTCTGCTGACACCGTCAAGACCAGTAGCTGCTTGGGACTTCTTGGATGCTACTTCGGCACGCAGCAAATCAGGTGTGATGATCACTGGTGCAATATCATGCCTAGGAAGGTGGTTACGGGCAAAACTAACCAGCTGATCCCAATGGCTGTGGGGCAGGTCATCGTGCTTGCACCACCGTTGTCTCCATTGGGTATGGAAGGCGGCAAAGACGTCATCAAGCGCACCTACCGGCTGGGTCTGTGTAACTGGCTGACCTACTTGCGCAGCAGTGATGTCAGACAGGTACAATGTGTCGGCTGTGGCATGGATGATGGTGGTAGGTGCATTGCCTATGACAACCGGATCTTGGGCATCAAACAGGACAGGCTGGTCAAGGAGCACCGCACTGTCTTCTGGGCGAACTTCAGCAACTTTGGCCTTTTTGGAAACCAGCAGGCTGGTGACCGGTTCCGGTGTGGGTCGCTTGGTGTCTTTGTAGATCAGGTTGGCATTGCGTTTGTGTGCACTCACCCTGGCGGCTTTCTTGGCTGCATTCAGCGTACGCTCAAAGGCACGTAGCTCACCTTGAAAGGCTTCGCAGAGCTGGCACGCATGGTTTGCATCTGGTGGAATCACCGGAACGGAGCCTGGGTCTTGGAGTCCAATGCACTGTCGTGAAAGCCACCACTCCGAGAATGTTGAGCCAAAGACAGTTGCTTTCAAGACACTAGCCCAAAGCATGCTGCCATGGTGTTGTTGATCAGCAATGGCGGTGCCATAATGATGCAGCGCCCAGCGATGGTAGTTGTGCAATCTGCGCAACTGGCGTAGCCACCGGCTGTGTTGGACATTGTACCCATGGAAGGCGGGTTGAAAATCACATGAGCGACGTTTGCGCGGTGGTGCAGCCCATCCTTTCCGCACGAGAGGGGCAATTCTTTGGCCTCGGCCCTGCATTTGGTTGTTCCAGTGTTCTCCCAACTGGGTTTTGGCAGAAAGTTCTTTGGCTTGCCAAAGTAGCTTGTACTTGTCAGTGGGTGACCCTTCCGCAAAATCCACTGGTTGGTCAAGGGGTGGGACAAGATTCCATGGAACTGGTTTGGGCTTTGGCCACAAGTAGCGTTTAGAGAGAGCACCATCCTGAGCAAAGTACGCTCGCAACACTGAGTGGTCAGCAAAACGGTCATGGTCCACCAAGGCACACCGAAAGAACGGGACTAACTCAGGCGAAATCCACAACATGTCCTTGCGTGTGCATCCCTTGCACGTTGGTTGAGGCTGGATTCCGGCACGCAGGCATTCAAGGTCTTGGGCTTCACGCCAGCCAAGCTGAACCAGGCGTTGGAGGACAGGAAGCTGGTCAAGTTCATGGTTAAGGTCACCACACAAGTACCGAGGGCCGGATGCAACCTGAGTCATATGGCCAATCAAAAACTCCAGCATGTCGGAAGAGCGGGCCAAAGCATTGTGATGGACCTTGCCTTGTGGGTAACCATACATGACTGCTCCAGTGATCCATGTCTGGTTGATGAATGTGCCAGTGATTTGGACCCTGCCAGTTTCAAAAAGGTCTGGGGGCCAGCATGCGCAAAGTGCGCGGGCAGGAACACGAGCGATGGTCGCAACTCCAGAGTACTGGCCAGCATCGTTGGTGTTGATCCGGGCAGGCAAGGGGAAACCTGTGATCACATGATTGTACTGGCTGTGCGACTTCAGGCTGTGCTGCAAAACGGAACGAGCAGTGGATGTGAGGTGGGTCTCACAAACTGCAATGATGTCTGTGTCAACTCCAGCAAGGAGAACGCTTTTACCCTGTAACCCTGATGGGTTACAAACCCCTAGGGACCAGGTGTCGTCGGCGGCTGCAGGACCTGGCGTCTTGGCTTCGCCAATGCGGCACTCGGCACCCCAAAACATACTAAGGACAAGGAAAATCCATATGAAAAACCCTGGTGCTCGAAAGCGATGGTTCACCACAGGTCGGGTTGTGGCACTGTGGCTACCGGACCTTCATTCAAAACGGCCCTTCTTTGCAAGTATGGTCTCCAGCTTGCTCATTTGATCCTCGAACATGTTGGACATGTGGGTGCGTTGCACCTCCATTTGGGACATCATCTGGGCCTGCAACGTCTGTACCTGGGCAGAGTGCTGGCGATGGTTTTCAGCAACAGTCCCCTCTAACGCCTGATGGCGATTTGCAAGGTGCTGCATCTGCTTTTCCAGGGTCTGCAACCGATCCTCTGTGTCGTCGGTTTCCATGCGGTCCATGGGGAGTTTCTCCATGATACTACGTTCCAGTCTTTCCTCCAACTCCTGGAGTTGTGGTGTCATGGTGGGCGCTGGCTGGGCAGGAACCTTGGTCAATGCCTGCTGCCATGGGTCTTGAACTGTCCAAGGATCCAGGGTGCTCTTGGATGAGCACAACTCGATGGTGCTCTGTGGCCCCATCACTGTGCCATGCTCTGCCATGCCCTCACGAACTGAGTCACATCTGGAGATCATGACCTGGCCATGCTGCATGTTGTACACCAGGTGCGGAGGGTCAGTCACCGATTGGACAAGCCACATCACTCCTCCAGGAATTGGTCTGGCAGGTTGAAGAGGTCTCGCCTGCCAAGCCCAGTCTGCAAAAACTCGCCCGATGGATTTGCGGTCGCTACCATATGGAAAAGGACCACATTGCCAGGTAAGCCTGGTACCTGGTGAGAGGAACTGTCCATCCGGCTTCAGCTTCTGAAAAACTTGCTGGAAGTTCTTGGCTGTGACACGGGGTCCATACCTTCGTCCGGATCGTGCAAGGCCAAGGCTCATCGGCTCGCATTTGGACTGGTGCTGGGCAGTGGCAAAGTCGGCCTGTGGGAGCCAAACGACCTGGTATTCATCTGTTGGAGCCGATGCATCTGGCAGTCTGGGCTCAAGATACACCCCATGGAGTCCTGACAACTGCAGAAGGGCAAGTTCTTGGGACTTCAGATACCTGACCTGAACGCTGAAGTGACTGGCCTGTGCATGTTTGGTGGGTCTGCCTGCATCTGTAAAGAATTGCCGGCGAAACACGTCCAGCAGGGCATCTTGAGCTGTGTCGGGACCTGTCGGATGCCATTTGCCGCATTGGCAGCTGTCTTCTCGGCACGTCTGCAGTGGTGGAAGGATCTGCAAAACCTGTTTGAACGGGTGATCTGCCAAACTAGACCAATCATGCGGCCACTGGTCTGCAAACACTGTGATGCGGGCGCATGCAACTGGGACGTCTTGGACAGTGGGACCACCATGAGTAAAGACAGGGACAATCGGCTGTACTCCAAGTTGGACCAAATGACCAGACAGCAACACTGGTTGATTGTTGACTGCACAGCAAGCTGCGAAACGGATCGATGCCCATTGCAAGGTGGTATGCAGTTCATCTGGTCCATTGATCACTAAGATGGCAAGGCTTTTGTTTGTCAGCGTCTGGCCCGATTGCAAAAAGGGTTTGGCTTCAGCAAAGGACATCAGCGCAACTCCAACGGCAAGTGGTCCAACCTGTGATGCAGCAAGCTGTGGAGCAAAGGCTCCGGCATCCATCTGAAAAGAAGCGTCGGCTAAGGTCAACTTGGCTGGGTCAATGTCCATGGGTCTGGACGGCATGACCTTGGGTCCAGTGGCTTTAGGATTGGCCTTTTTGGCTTTGCGTTCCTGCATGACTGTGTTCAGTTCATCTGGCATGACAAGTTGGAGCGCTGGCTTCTGCTGGTTGGCAAGTGATTTCAGGGTTCTCCATGGTGCAACTCCATTCAAGGCTTTGGTCACGGCATCTTGGCCAATGCTTTGCAGGACCAATTTGGCTCTGGTCGGGGCTGCATGAATTGGCACTCCATGTTGTTGCAACAAGGCGTTGAGCACGGACTGCGTATCTGTGATACCTGAGCCCCAACACCATGGTCGTGGAACCTGGTTGAACCCTTCCATTGACTGCCGGAACGCTTCACGGAGTTCATCTGCTGCATCCTGCAACTGAGCGGCTGTTTCTGGCAAAGCGGTGCCTGTCAAACGGTGCTGCAGAAAGATGATGGCGGCTGCACCACAGTTTTGTTCTCCAAATTGGCGACGAGTGCATGACGTGCGAAAGTGTGGTAACCCAAACACCGAGCTCAAAAGTCCATGGAGACAGTTCAAACCATTGATGTCCACATCATCATGTTCCCACAGGATGACTTCCAACTCAGCTGGTCTCAAAATCCAAATGCAAGGAGTCCAGTGGCCATCAAGCAGGACAACAGATGCAATGCGGTTGAATCTGGGTTGCATGGAGGCCCAGTACTGCACCGCGGCCGGTGTGCCTGCTGTGAGCCATGTGTGTGCGATCAACGGATCCAAGATGGCAGTTTCTTTGGGTTTCGGAACGGCAATGGCGCTCAAATGCCACCAAACTTCATCATCAGCCCATGCATGTGCCTGGTTGTCAAGCAAGGAGAGTCTTGTGTCGACTGGAACAGTGGGACGCCGCATGGATGAACAGAGTTCAACATCGCGGGGACTAATGGTGGCAACATCGCCAACAGCTGAGGAGCACGCAATTCCAACAATCCTTTGACGGTGGAATCAAAGGGGCACGCAGAAGACGGAACCAAAAGGCCAGAGTCTGAGCCGCGGGAGTCGATGGTCTCAGGACGGTTGTCAGGCACATCATGGTCAGAAGACAATCCATCTGAGTGTCCGCATTCAGATCTGCAAGAGCTTGTGGTACCTCAGCGGATCCAATCGAAGGGTCATATGGGTACAAATCCTCATACTTGCCAATGGTGAGACGGGGGAACAGTGACAACTTCGCTTCATGTGTTGTGAGGTTGTTCTCATCATCTTTGACCCAAATTTCATCCAGGGGGATTGCATGAAGACGTCCATGTGCCAGGATCAAATCCTTGACTACCGTTGTTGGAGGAAACACCAAAGTCCATGCACTAAGTCCTGGCTCTTGGATGGTGATGGCGCATCTGTCAGGAGCAATTGGCTGACGTGGGACGCTCGGGAAAAGGTCACGTCCTTGAGTCATGACTTCATGTTTCAGCGCCTGGAGGAGTGCAGTTGGGTCTGCGGGGCTGGTATTCGTAAACAACATTTGCATGTGACGTGCAAGCGAAGCTGCCAACCAAATTGAATGCATCGGGCATGCCATCTGTCCAATTGCACACAAGTTGAGCCGCTGGTTGCAACCCCATGGAAGGTTCAAAGGCACTCCATTCAACAAACAAACTTCCAGCACATGCAAGTGTCGCCATGCTCCTGCCTGTCCTTCTGTTGCTGGAAGCTGCAGGAGCTGAGCGTACAGACCTTTGGTGGTCAACAGTTCATCACTGAAACCTGATGGCCTGCATTCACATTCACACGGCTGCGTCTGATTTCCCCATGAGTGAAGTGCAGTTGGAAGCTTGATGTCAGGCTTGACCTGGTGTTGCCGAAGTGACTGCCCACCCAGTTGGAAACGTTCAAGTTCCGGTCCATGCAAAATGAGCTGGGTTTCGTCATCTGATGGCCATCTATGTACATACGGCATGAGGTCTCTGACAACCAGCGATGAGCCTGTTGGGAAGGCTGGAATCTTCACTGGTCCAATGCATGGATGCGTTGCGATGACCCACCAACGGTATCTGCAAGCTGACCAAACATTCTCAAGGCGCAGCGAACATTCAACCACATGGTATCCCAGTTGATCCACCAGAGCCTGCAAGTGACCTCGGACATACATGTTGTCTCTGGCGGGCACCACGCATTCTAAGACCAATGCAGGAGACTGCAACAGGTACATCATACGGAGGGTGCCTGGGAGTGATGTGGATCTGCTGTCCTGCTGACCTCGTTGTGAGCCACCTCGTGAAAACGGCTGACATGCTATGCCTGACATGATGGTGCAAGGGTCAGGGCAATGCGCAAAAACAAGGCCGGCTGTTGTGTCTTGGGTGATGTCGGCACATACAATTGGAACCTGTGGGTGCAGCAGGCTATGAAGTTCAGCAAGCTTTGGCTGTCGTTCGACTGAGCACCTATGTCGAAAACCGACTCGAGAAAATCCAATGGACGAAATTCCAACACCAGAGCACAACTCAACAAGGTTGAAGACATGGTCGGCAGACAAAGGCCGGTGAGCCAAAACCAAACTGGAGTCGTCCAAAACCAGATCAACCACGGGGCCAGCAGACAAGAAGGACGCAGAAACCACGGTGACCTTGGTAGCGCTAGTGACCTCAGGGGGAATAAGTCCAACTAAACGTACCACCTGCCCACCGGGAACTGCCTTCCCCACACCAGAGTTTTGTGCCCAGATGACGTTGTCAATCACCATCGACACTGGGGCCCCATTGCTAAGGCAAGACCATTGAGGACAAAACAGCGAAGCGAAACAAGTTTGTTCGGTAGAACCAATCATTGGGTTACAACCTCCCAAACATCAGCATGCGAAGCCGCCCGTCTGTCACGGTTTTGGGCCAGGGCTTGTTCCAAACCACCAACCAGATACTATATCATTAAACCAGAGGGTGCTTAGACTCATCGATCATTTTTTTGGTAAAATCGGGCATTGCTGCGGGTCAGTTCAAGCCAAGATATTAGGTTTTTCATGTCAACCTATAGCTGGTGTTTATGGGTGAAAAAATCACCCAGTTCATTGACAAACAAAAGGCTCGTTGGACTCTTGGAACCGCTTCATTGATATGAATTATTGGTTCTGCCCAAGAATGTCAGAATGTTGGTGCAGCAATCATAAACCATCCCCAATTTTACCATGTCTACGGGTACAACCATCAAAATATATGGCTGGTTTATCCTTGCTTAAATTACAGAAAAATCGTCTTGAACACCACTCATTTAAGTCTTGTTTTCTGAATAAATTTTGTTTTTTCCCCACCTGCCAGGTGAGGGTTGTTAGATTTTATCAGAGCGCTCTTCCTCCGCCTCATCTTCCTCCTCCTCGTCCTCCTCCTCCTCCTCGACTAGCTGTCCTCTTCCTCCTCGTCCTCCTCCTCCTCACCTCCTCCTTCAGTTTCTCCTCGACCATGTCTGCATCAACTTCCACCTGCACTTCCGCCTTGCCAACTCTTCGCCAAGCTCTTTGCCAACTCTCTTCGCCGACTCTCTGCGCCAAGCTCTTTGACAACTTCCCAGCTCAGTGTGCACTGCTGGACCTCAACCTGGGAGCTGCCCAGCTCAGTGTGCACCGCTGGACCTCAACCGGGGACCTGCCTAGCTCAGCGTGCACCGCTGGACCTCAACCGGGGACCTGCCCAGCTCAGTGTGCACCGCTGGACCTCAACTGGGGACCTGCCCAGCTCAGTGTGCACTGCTGGACCTCAACCGGGGACCTGCCCAGCTCAGTGTGCACCGCTGGACCTCAACCGGGGACCTGCCCAGCTCAGTGTGCACCGCTGGACCTCAACGGCCAGATAGAATGCCAGAAGATATGCCAGATGGAATGTCAGATAGAATGCCAGAAGATATGCCAGATAAAATCCCATGAGATATGCCAGATAGAATGCCAGAAGGTATGCCAGATAGAATGCCAGAAGGTATGCCAGATTGAATGCCAGATAAAATGTCAGATAGAATGCCACAAGATATGCCAGATAGAATCCCAGAAGATTTGCCAGATAACATGCCAGAAGATATGCCAAATAGAATGCCAGAAGATATGCCAGAACATATGCCAGAAGATATGCCAGGTAGAATGCCAGAAGATATGCCAGATAGAATGCCAGAAGGTATGCCAGATAATGCCAGATAAAATGTCAGATAGAATGCCAGAAGATTTGCCAGTAACAAAATGTATAAATGTCATGGCGGGGATCACACGAAGTAAAGTAATTTTCTCCAACAAACCCCAGCCGTTTTTGTGCACCTGCGAGAGCCAGAGCAATGGCAGGAGCCCATAGAACCTTCGACAAAGCAGCGTCGGTCTGACATGGATTTCGGGGAATACATGAGTTTTCCCGAATGCGGAGCGAAGGGTTCCCGTTTAACTGTGGGGGTCTGGGGACCGGGGGTGTGTTCACCCGCTGTTTCGGCCCACGTTCGCGCGAGGACTCTATGGCAGGGCCGCTGGGGAAGGGTGCCGAAGGGGGTCCGGTGGGGGGGGAAGAAGAGGGGAGGGGTGCCGAAGGGGGTCAGGGGGAGGGGAGAGGGGGGGGGGGGGGGGGGTGGGGGTGGCGGGGGCATTCGGGTTCGCGGATTGTCTTGTTCTTTATAAAATCATGACATTTGAAAAGGATAGTTTGTCTAACATTTGTAGATACCAGAGTTTTATAGTGTTAAATTTATATACAAAAATATCACATCTAACAGGGTTGTTTCCAACATGTTCAGGTATGTTTGGGGCTTTTTATAGGGTCTGTCTAGAGGTTTTCAACGACTTTTACCGTTTTACCCCCAGTGATTGCTGGCGATCATTTCCCAGTGATTTTACCATCGGAAATACTGGTTGATCCATAGGTATCCAACAAAAAATGGCTCAGAATGGTTGGAGTTCCTCTAATTTTGATATCGAAAAATAGATATCCTCTCATTTTTGGATATAGAATGATATAGATATCCTCTCATTTTTTCTCCGACAAAATAAACAATTACACCACCGATGAAACAACTGGGCTGTTTCTAAGGGCTATCCCGAATGATGTATCTACACTCGCTCCAAATACCACGGAAGGTGGCCAAAAGATCCAAAAAGTCTGTGCAGACAAGAAGTACCAACTCTCATCAACTCTCGTTCTGAGCAGAAAATGGTCACCTGATTGGTGAATCTCCAGTTTTAAGGCTCAACTAGTCACTGAAACCGCGGTTAGGCACCTCATGAAGTGGTCACAGCATCAAACCACGGCGGGCTGGAACCGCTGAAGGGGCGGAAAGGGCTTTCCGCAACTTGAACCACGGCAAGGCAGGCACCCTTTGCAAGTGGTCTATGGTTTTGATATGTTTGAACATCTCTCGAAATGCTCTGGGATATTCAGGGCGAGTGGTTTAACACCACTACTTCGGATGATCCTTCAACGATGGGCCCCACAGCTATACCCATATTGCCTGCTTTGTATCCCCATGTTTTGATCTTTTTCGCCGGTAAAAAACGTGTTGTAGTTGCGGCTACTCAGCAGTCCCCCAGAGGTATTGACTCATCCCCATTTAACGGGGTTCGTTCGGGGATCATCATTCCCAGCCATGATGGAAAAATGAATTTCAATAGATGAAATGCAGAAATTCACCAACGTGGTTTATGCAATTCGGCCATTGTGGTAACTATCAACGTATATCAACTATATATATAATATATCCCCATAATCCCCCATATGTTTCATGATAAATTCCATTCGAAAAACATATGGGGATATAGTATGATGAAATCCCATTCGCCATGGTTGATATAGTTGAAATATGTTGAAATTGTTGATAAATGTTTTGTTGAGTTTTGTTATCCCAAACCAAAAACCACCATCTATATTTGATGTAGCTGATAAATGAATAAATAGATTCATTTTTGGACCTACAAATTCCAGGGTTCTAGGTTCGCTTGGTATTTGATGTAGCTGATAAATAAATATGTGAATTTTCGAGGCTATTTAGTTGATATATGGCCATCAAAAATACCCATCTCCACATGTTTGACTCAAAATCATTGGGTTCATGGGTAAAACCAACCAGTTTCCGGTTGAGATTTTCCCAAAAAAACAATCAATATTGAATATTGATAGTTTATCCAAATTCATGAATAACAATGGTTCTCAATGGTTAATATCTATATGTTACCCATATGCTCCATGTATGGAATAGTTATACCAACATTTTGCCCATTTTTATGGCCCACAAGTAGGTAAATATACTATGGAGCATATGGGGTACCCTCTGGTAAACGTTTACAAAAAACTATGGAAAAATACCATGCTATTAATAGGTAAACCATGGTAAATCATCTATCAATGGGTCATCTATACCTGGCGAACTGTTAAATAACCAGTGGGTATATGTCCATTAATTCACTATTAGCCATTTAAAAAACACCATTAATCACCATTAATTCACTATTAATCACCATTAACCACCAGTAATGTCCATTGGGTCACCTTTTTCCGCGTCACAATTCGGTCTGCTCCGACACGGTGGAGATCACCGCGCTATGGGAGCCCGAGATCTCCTGAACCTTGGGAAGAGCCATCATGGGGATAACATGGATATAAGGTGTAGCTTAACCTCTGTAACACTCGGAAAATTGGAATTTCATTCATTTTTCCCATTTTCTTTCGTGGAAAAATTGTGCCTAAATCGTGCTGTTTTGTTCCCCTCCGTGTAAAAATCGTGCTCTAGATCGTGCTCTTTGGTGTTCTCCTCCGTGCAAAAATCGTGCTCTAGCTCGTGCTTTTTGGTGTGGGTTCCGTGAAAATTGCTCTCCTTCGTGCACAAAGTCGTGGTCTGGATCGTGTTTTTTTGGAGCTCCTTTCCGTGCAAAAATCGTGCTCGTTGGTGCTCCCCTCCGTGCAAAAATCCTTCGGTGTTCCCCTCCGTGCAAAAATCGTGCTCTAGCTCGTGCTTTTTGGTGTGGGTTCCGTGAAAATTGCTCTCCTTCGTGCACAAAGTCGTGGTCCGGATCCTGTTTTTTTGGAGTTCCTCTTCGTGCAAAAAATCGTGCTCTAGATCGTGCTCTTTGGTGCTCCCCTCCGTGCAAAAATCGTGCTCTAGATCGTGCTCGTTGGTGCTCCCCTCCGTGCAAGAATCCTTTGGTGTTCCCCTCCGTGCAAAAATCGTGCTCTTTGGTGTTCCCCTGCTCCGTGCCAAAATCGTGCTCTAGCTTGTGAAAACTGTTACAGACAATGGGTCAGACCCAAGATATAAATATATATATATATAGTTTAGCTAAACCCAAAGGGTCGCTGCGGCCTGTTTTTGAAGTTATTTAGACGTATTGAACGTGGGGGGGCGTACGGCCATCTGAACGAGGGTACGGCGGGGGTGCGAACGTGCGAAAGGGGGCGAACGGGGGGGCGAACGGGGGGACGAACGGGGGGGCGAACGTGGGGGCGAACGTGGGCGAATGTACGCACGTACATACGCCGTACGTGCACGCACGTACGCACATACGTACGCACAGACGTACGCACGTACGTTCGCACGTATAAATGTACGTAGGTACCATGTTCAGGCCCATGTTCAAGCCCATGTTCAGACCCATGTTCAGACCCATGTTCAGAAATAAGGTTACCTTTGAAAAGTGACCTCCTAATACTAAATATGCTTTAGGAGGCTTAGGGTCGTACAGAAATAAGGTTACCTTTTATATAAAAGGTAACCTTAAAGGTAACCTTATTTCTGAACATGCATGTGAACGTGCGTGCGTACATGCACATGAACGTGCGTGCGTGCATGCGTACGTACGTGCGTACATGCGTATGTGCGACCCCTTCGTGCGACCCCTTCATGCGCCCTCAAGGGGGTGGGCCCGCCCTCAAAATTGCACGGGTTTCGAATACCAACAACTTTGTACCAGTATTCTTGGGTTGTATAGTAGGTGTACAATAATTTCGGCACAGGTTGACTGTACGAATTATCACCAGGCAAAACAAGACTAGTCGAATTGTTCGCCCGTCCGCTCGCCCCCCAGCTCGCCCCCCCGCTCGCTCGTGCGGGCGACGTTCGTCCACCCGTTCGCCCACGTGTTCGCCCCTACGTTCGCCCCCCCGCTAACCCCTCGTGCGGTTTTCAACATATCCACGGCAGCGAGTTTTTGAGTTTAGCTAATATATAGTATTATTTATGATTATTATTACTATTATCATATGATTGGTATGTATAGAAACGTATAGATACTAATTCATTCCCCCTTACTTCCCAAAAAAACACATGTCAACTTTGAATGTCGTTGAACATCCCCGTTGAACCATTTTCTGTTGCAGCAGTGGTTTCTGGTCCACCAAGTCCGATGGATCATTAGTGTGGTTGGTGGTTGACCTACCCCCTCTGAAAAATGATGGAGTTCGTCAGTTGGGGTTACTATTCCCAACTGAATGGAAAAATGTTCCAAACCACCAACCAGATTAGTATTAGAATATTGGTATAGTATTAGATCACAATTTAATCTATTAGAATACCAAGAACCATTATGTGAGCATTAGTATTAGGATACTAGTATCATGGATAATAACTAAGATCCAACTAGCAACAATATACCTATTATTATTGGTATCACTAATGTTGGTAACACAATGGTACACCATCACCCACATCACAATAAATAGGTGGTATGAACCATTCCCAAATGGGTAGTTTATTATTGATCTACCCACATGTTTTTTTTCTTCTTCTTCTTCGTCTTCTTCTTCTGAACCGCCTCTCCACCGTTGTCATCACTTACTGTAGTATGTAACCCACGGTATAAACTTAAAATTGCATGAACCCGAAGATAATTCATGATTAGGGCCCAAACACACTTAGAGATCAAGGGCCAAACACACTTTAGATGTTGCCAGAATTAGTGGTTAGTAGCTGGACTGCACAGTATCATATTTAGATATAAATTTATATATATATAAATAATATAATTTAATATATGTATATATGTATTATATATATATCCCAGTCAAAGATAGTAAAAGAGAGTAAATCCACCCACTTCATAGCCACCAAAAAAACTGATTCGACGAAAACACGTTCCCACCTCCTGCCAGCCCCGTTTAGCTGCGCACCTGAGACATGAAGTCACCTCGCTCCGCAAGTTCCTGTAGGTACCTGCAAGGATGTTGTGCATTAAAAACTTCAGCTGGTTTGCTGGATTCAACCAAGGCAGGATCCCAGCGAACAGCTATCCCAGAACAGCTTGCGAGGACGGGGCGCCAAGCGGATATATATATATAATGATTGTCTATGGTCATAAGTTATACCATCTATTTGTTCAATGGAACTACACCCCAAAATGAAGATTGAAAACTAGACCCTTAAGAACTTGAAGGTGCCCTCGTTCCCAATTTCCCTATTTTTCCACAGCTAGGACTCAAGAATCCCAGGGTAGGCTGGGCATTTTTTAGTCGGGTTTTGTCTAACGGTTCCGCTGCATTTCACAATGATTATCCCGGAAAAAGGCTGATATATATGATTGTAGACATTGATATAGGATCATACATGTTCAATGAATATTCATTGAATGTTGAATGCTGTAGACCCATTCCCAATTTCGAAATCGAAAAGATAATCACCAATGACGGCATTGCAAGACACCAGTTGGCAATCTCATAGTATTGGCCCGCTGATCTTGGCTAACACCGACATGTTTGTTGCCCAAATCCCGGTGTTTGGCTATCCAAAACCTGCTAAGTTGCATTTTGCACACCCATGTGAAAGTTCGTGTGTCCAGTTTCGAAACCGTCCAAAACCCATTCTTTGTTGCATGTTTGTCATTCTTGTTGGCTGGTCATGCTTCTTATGGTGCTGTATCAGCATGGTCAACATCCTCGAGGTGGCTAGTCATAATCCCATTCATCTTGCTTTGTTGATTCAATACTTAAGCATGGATTAGCAGTCTGGTAGGCCTCTTTGTCTGTTGTGGGGCCCAAGGCCTTGGAACTATTTGCAAAATCTATTCAACTAATCATTAAAAATTGAACCGATTTTCATGAATGCCAGTCAATTTCCCGCAGGGGTTTTGCATTTTTTGCATGGTATATTTCCTGATCATTACAACCTAGATTCAACCCTCTTGTTTTGACATGTTGCATGCATCATAGCTATACATATAGTAAGCTGGGCCAAGCAGATATTTAAAACAAAAAACCTTTAACAAAAATCGAAAGTTTAGGGCACAATTACGACAAACTGATATATAAATAAATTTGCAGTTCTAGTCTATATACTTTATGGTTCAACATTGTTTCAAACAGTCCAAGAATATTTTCAGAAGATTTCAGAAGCATGATTCAAATATATTCAAATTTGCATTGCCGGTACTTTG